AATGTTCACATGCACGGGTAATATGAAAGATTATATAACCTCCAAATTTTAAAATCTTAAACTTACCTGGCAAAATGTAATCACTTCTTTTGAAATGCAGAGAACATACTCTCATAGAAGGCTTTATACTGTTTATTTTTAAAGCATTTTTCCAGGCCTTTAATTGATCGACTTTCAAAATTATCGAACGTATTTTTCACATCCACTACTCGTTGTTTTGGTTTCGGAAATTTATGGAAAATTACGCTTAAATTTTTCGCTACAGTACTGCCACAGCCTCTCACAGAACACTTAATTCTGCAGGAAGATTTCTCACGCGGTAAAAAATGTAGCTTCATTCATAATGTTAAAATAATTAACAATGACAGCGGAACTACAATTGCAAGTGACACAAACAGTTATCCAAAACTAGTTACATTTTTCAACACCAGATGGCATGTGTACGAATGTCAGATCCCAATAAAGAAAAGCTGACCTTTTTCGACTTACGACTTCGAGATTTACTGTCCTTGTTGTGCTACTGTGCTGGCGTGCTTCTACTCAACCTTGGATCTTCTCTCTCCTTTTCTTGAACTGGTGCGACAGAGTTGGAATTCAAACGGAACTTGAAGCGCAGATTGTGCGACACTTGTTACGTGACAGTGCAGTGTTAATGGTATTGTAAATTCGATAGTCACGATAAATTCAACTCAAAAAAGGTAAATTATTTTGTTTTAAAGAGTAAATTTAAAGGCTTAAGAATGATCCGACCTAAAAGGGTAGTAAAGTCAAAAAATTCAGCTGGCGTCTGGACCGTTGATCATGTGGAGAATCTAAATAGTACAAATAATAATGAAATTTTAAGTACAACTTCGACTAAAAATACTAATGTCATTGTAAATCAGGGTTTGGTTGGGAATTCGCAATCTAACGAGTCTTTTGATAATACTTTGAAGTTTAATGATACAGGCTCTTCACCTGTTCCCAAGACAACTAATTTTGATTTTGTTAATTCACCAATTACCAATATTGCAACTGGTAATGCTATTAAAATGATTTCGAATTCTATACCAACTTTTGATGGTAAAAGTCCCCCTGTTAAAATGTTTATTAGTCATTGCAAAACGGTTCTTGCAATGTTGTCTCCTCAAGAACTTCCTGTTTTTTCGATGTTTCTTCACACAAAAATAATTGGAGAAGCTAGGGATCACATTCGCGACGGTATGAATTCCGAAGAAATTCTTACCACTTTGGAACAGATTTATTTTATTAAGGAAGATAGTAGTCAGTTGGTGCAACAATTGCTTTCGATTCGGCAAAAGGAAAAGGAAACTATTTCCCAATTTAGCAGTAGAATTAAAGGCATTTTGAACAAATTGTTAATTTATTGTAAGGAAACTGAACCTGCACCAATGTTGGAAGCAATCAGTAAAATTTATCAAAAAAATGCAATTAGTGGGTTTTTAAGGGGATTGCGTAAAGAAATTTTCACAAAATTATATGATAAACAAATTATTGATCTTGATCAAGCAATTACCCTACCGAAAGAGTGGTACTGGATTGGTACTGGGAAATTGGAACTGAGGGCTCAGTACCAACTCAGTACTAATTTGGTGCATTTTGGTACTGAAATGGAACTGGGAAATTTACCTGCGAAAAGGGTCGAGTTACCGTTAAAACCCTCATAAAAGTGAAAAGCGACTAGCTTTTTCAATATGTTTAAACTAAAACTTTATATTTATTTCAATATTATATTTGTTTTTCATGGATTTATATTATTTTCATACATTATTATGCATATGATATTTCCTTTGGCATCTAAATTCAAAAATGATGTCCATTTTTTTATCAAACTTAAGGTATACGAGATAAATTATAACTTTTTTAAATGTAATTATTTTATGATAAATTTTAGATATTCATAATCTGGAAATATTAACGAATTTTAATATATATTTTTTAAAGTTGAGTTATGAAAATTACAAATTTTTTAAGCAATAAAACTCGGGTTAAAATTGTAATCCTTCAACAAAGGACCTAGGGGTCTATTGTTCAAGGAGGGATTGCAATATAATTTTCAAACTTAACAGAAATTTTCTACAAACTATTATGTTTTTTTTTGCTGTTTTACACGTATATCGTGAGAGACGGTTTGTTGATCTTATATACCTTTAAAACTATTGTTAAAGTACTTTAAAAATGTCTTCTTATGGGTTATCAGGTAGTGGTACTGAAGTGGAACTCAAGCCAAGTCCAATTCAGTACCATTCCAGTACCACTCTTTCGGTAGGGTACAATGGCTATCCAGGAGGAGATGGCATTGGGAACGTGGGACACTCTGCATGAAAAGGAGCAACCAAGTAACTTCAAAAAATTTTTTAATTTACCTCAAAAACGTGTTGCTCATTTTCGGGCAGAGGAAAATGATGGAGCATTTACACCTTCGGCAAAAAATTTTCTTCACTTTGCATTTTCCGAAATACACTTACCTGATTGGTTGTCCAGAATCTGATTCATTGTGGACAACCAATCAGGTAAGTGTATTTCGGAAATTTCAAAGTGAAGAAAATTTTTTGCCGAAGGTGTAAATGCTCCATGAGGCTTTGAAAAGAAGTAAGAATGATAGTAGAGATATAAGAAAAATAAGATGTCATTATTGTCATAAATTGGGACACATGAAGAATGATTGTAGGGAGAGGCCTGATCGCAAATCCATTCGAAGGAGGTGCGAGTATTGTCTTAGACCGAATCATTCAATTGATAGATGTTTTTTAAAAAATAAGGACGATAAGGATAGGAAGTCTCGGGCGTCTGTTGAGGAGATCAAAAACGAAAACCAAAAAATCGAAAATTCAAACGAGTCACAAAAAAACCAAAGTTGGGATCAGCAGGTGAGGGAACTGTTGGCCCTGAATGCAGAAAACTCCCTCAAAAACGTATCATCCTTGGTATTAGAGGAGACGAGCGACGCGGTGAGGTCCCCTCGATAGACCTTGAGAACCATTCTTTTGTTAATAACAAGGCAAATTTTTTGGTTGATACAGGCTCGTCTGTAAATTTAATTAAAGTAAATGCCTTAAAGGAAAATATAATGGTAAATAAAACAAAATTTTTTAATTTGGTGGGAATAAATCCTAATATGACTAAAACCATGGGTGAGGTCATAATAAATATTCATGGAATTGAAACATTGTTCCAAGTTGTTGGGTCTGATTTCCCTATTAGATTTCAGGGTATTCTTGGAATAAATTTCCTTAGACAACATAAAACCACTTTGAATTTCATTGATAATTATATTAAAATCAATACCGCGGATATTCCTTTTAAAGAAAGCAAAAAAATATATTTAACACCTCGATCAAAAACGTTGGTTGAATTACCCATTAAGGAAACTAATTTAGTAGAGGGATATATTCCAAGAATTTCCTGCGGTCCTGAGATATATGCGGGAGAAGTTTTAGTGACGAACAACAAAAATACTGTTAAAATTTTTATGATTAATTCAACGAGCGAAGGGGTGGAATTAACAATACCGACTCTCGAATTAGAAGACTTTGCTATTCCTTTAAGTTCATCTATATTTAAAGAAAATCCAAGTGGTTCGCCGGATGATATTAAAAAACATGCTGCTAGATTGGCTTTATTGCTGGAGAATCTTAATTGGGAAGGATTAAATGACCAGGAAAAGGAAAGTCTTTTGGAAATTTTTGATGAATATCCAGAACAATTTTATCTCCCAGGAGATGTATTCGGTTCAACTAATGTTTTAAAGCATAAAATAACTACTACTAGTGATAAACCGATCTATGTCAAGCAGTATAGATATCCTCCTATTCACAAGGAAGAAATAACTAAACAAATAAATGAGTTGTTGGCAGCTAAGATTTTAGTGCCTTCTATTGCTCCCTATAACTCAGCTCTTTGGATTGTGCCCAAAAAATCAGATCCCCAGGGTAATAAGCGCTGGAGGATGGTTATAGATTATAGAAAATTGAATGAGATAACTGTGGGAGATGTTTATCCGTTGCCTAGTATTATTGACATAATTGACCAGTGTGGAGGTGCTAAATATTTCTCAGTATTAGATTTGGCCCTAGGATTTCATCAAATTCCCCTTGATCCTGAAAGCGGCCCGAAAACTGCTTTTAGCACTCCATTTGGTCACTATCAGTATACAAGAATGCCTTTTGGATTGAAAACTGCTTTAAGTACATTTCAGAGACTGATGGATCTTGTGTTATCTGGTTTACAGGGTATTGAGATGTTCATCTATATGGATGATATTGTCATCTATGCATCCAGTCTTTAAGAACATGCTCAAAAATTAAGAAAATTATTGGGTAGATTAAAGGTTGCCGGTCTTACTTTGCAGCCTGGGAAATGTTTCTTTCTTCAAAAAGAAATAACGTATTTGGGACATTTAATAACTGAAGACGGGGTAAAACCGGATCCAAAGAAATTGGAGGCCGTCAAACGATTCCCCATACCTAAAACAAAAAAGAATATTAAGCAGTTTTTAGGTCTTACTGGTTACTATCGAAGGTTTATCAAGGATTATGCTAATATAGCAAAACCTCTAACTGCACAATTAAAAATAGAGGTTGATTTTGATTGGACTCCCTTGCATCAAAAATCTTTTGAAATTTTAAGAGATTTAATTTGTGAATCTCCAATCCTCCAATACCCAGATTTTTCCAAACCATTCATTCTGACGACTGATGCTTCTCATTATGCTATTGGTGGAATCCTTAGTCAAGGAAAAATTGGACGGGATCTCCCGATAGCGTATGCTTCTAGAGTTTTACACCAGGCGGAGATAAACTATTCCACTATCCAAAAAGAACTCCTGGCAATTGTTGATATGGTTAAACATTTTCGACCATATTTATATGGTAAAAAATTTACATTAGTAACAGATCATAGGCCGTTGGTTTGGTTAAATGGATTGAAAGATCCTATTTCTAAATTGGCAAGATGGCGAATCAAACTGAGCGAGTACGATTACGAAATTGTTTATAAACCTGGTAAAATTAACTGTAATGCTGATGCTCTTTCGAGGAATCCGGTGAGAAATTCGGACAGTGAACTGGAGACTGTAAATGTAATTGATATCTGTTCTTTGATTGATCGTGCTTTTGGACTCTGTGATATAAAGAGTGTTCCGGGCTCTGATGACCTTTCTGTTCCTGGTCCACAGGCTCCCGTTTCACGGACTGAAAAATTAGCTTTTGTTTTTAACCTCGAGGAAACAGAGCTGATAAAGGATGTGAATACGGTCCTTGAACCTGGAAAAATTTTTAACGGTCCTTCAACTATCGAAAACGTATCCATGATTGGTGCCTGTTCTATTGATGCATCCATGATTGGTACCTGTTCTGTTAAAATTGCCCTTGGCCAAGGTTGTGATAGTTATGCCCGTTATTGTTGTAAGGCGATCAATCCTGTAAACGAAATTGATAGTTTGCTCGGAACGGTATTTCAAGTCATTAGTTCTTGCTTGATTTACAGCAGAGACAAATTGTCAATGGGAAAATGTCATATAGTTCACTTTATGTCCGAGGATTGCAAATTTGAGTCTGATATTGATAGAGAATTGATTGAAAATAATTTGTTAAAACCGGATTCATTTAAGAAAGAAGATTTAAAGGTCGGAAACGTAATCGTCATGCCTCAGGGAAATCGCTATGTTTTTCATGTTGTAGTAAAAGAAAAATTTAATGGCAAATCTTATTTAAATAAATTGTCTAGTGCTATTTTGGCCTTGAAAAATGCAATGCAACCTTTGAATGTAGCCTTTGCCAGGGTTTCCAAAGTAGGGAATGGTTTTGAGGATGTTTCCTGGTTTTCTAAGGAGAAAATGTTGTGTCAAATATTTTCCGATACTGAAATTAAAATCATGATTTGTTCTGGAGAAATCAAAACTCCAGATCCTGATAAACAGAAATTGATTATCAAGGAATATCATGAATCTACAATTGGAGGTCACAAAGGAGTTTCAAAAACCTACAACCGAATTAGATTAATTTACTATTGGCCCAATATGAAATCTGAAATCCAAAGTTATATTAAATCCTGTAAAAATTGTCAAAGAAATAAGGTTATAAATTTACGAACTAAACAACCAATGATAATCACTGATGCCCCCAAGGAACCTTTTGAAAAAATTCAAATTGATATTGTTGGTCCTTTGCCAATGTCACTTTTGGGTAATCGGTATATTCTAACCATTCAATGTGTATTTTCAAAATACGCAGATGCGATTCCTTTGAAAAATATAATAATAAATATAATATAGTTCAATACCTCAGACAATTTGGAAATGCGCAAACTTGGGACGAACATCTAAGATTTGCAATATTTTCGTATAATACAGCAGTTCATGAATCAACAGGATTTGCTCCTTACACATTAGTTTTCGGAAAGGAGGCGGTGATTCCTTCAAATTTTCCACAACAATTGCCTGATAAAACATATTTGCAGTATTTGCAGGAATTGTTTCATAAACTTGACAATGTTCAAAAATTGGCCCAGGAATATTTGAAAAAATCTAAAAGAAATAAAATCGGACAAGTGCGAGTTACACTCGCACTGAAATCGAGGGTTCCGTACTCAAAGCGAACTTATTTGGTATAAAAACAAATGTTTAAAAAATATGTGTTGTATGACAACTAATATAAGTGATACAAAAAGGAACAATTTTCTTGAATTTTACAAAATTGTTCATTTTTGTATCACTTATATTAGTTGTCATACAACACATATTTTTTAAACATTTGTTTTTATACCAAATAAGTTCGCTTCGAGTACGGAACCCTCGATTTCAGTGCGAGTGTAACTTGCACTTGTCCGATTTTATTTTTTAAAAAATATTTTACTAAAAAAATATAAGAAACATAATTTTATTTCAACTCGCAATATTTTTATTGTATTTACATTTTAAAAATATATTGAATATTAAATTTTATCTTTCTAAGTCAAAAAGAGATAAAACTTAAGATATTGATATAAGGCTAGTAGCTGCTTGTCAAGGAAAAATCGAAAGTTATCTAAACCCTACCGAAAGAGTGGTACTGGAATGGTACTGAATTGGACTTGGCTTGAGTTCCACTTCAGTACCACTACCTGATAACCCATAAGAAGACATTTTTAAAGTACTTTAACAATAGTTTTAAAGGTATATAAGATCAACAAACCGTCTCTCATGATATACGTGTAAAACAGCAAAAAAAAGCATAATAGTTTGTAGAAAATTTCTGTTAAGTTTGGAAATTATATTGCAATCCCTTCTTGAACAATAGATCCCTAGGTCCTTTGTTGGAGGATTAAAATTTTAACCCGAGTTTTATTGCTTAAAAAATTTGTAATTTTAATAACTCAACTTTAAAAAATATATATTCAGATTCGTTAATATTTCCAGATTATGAATATCTAAAATTTATCATAAAATAATTACATTTAAAAAAGTTATAATTGATCTCGTATACCTTAAGTTTGATAAAAAAATGGACATCATTTTTGAATGTAGCTGACAAAGGAAATATCATATGCATAATAATGTATGAAAATAATATAAATCCATGAAAAACAAATATAATATTGAAATAAATATAAAGTTTTAGTTTAAACATATTGAAAAAGCTAGTCGCTTTTCACTTTTATGAGGGTATTAACGGTAACTCGACCCTTTTCGCAGGTAAATTTCCCAGTTCCATTTCAGTACCAAAATGCACCAAATTAGTACTGAGTTGGTACTGAGATCTCAGTTCCAATTTCCCAGTACCAATCCAGTACCACCCTTCCGGTAGGGAAAAATAAAATTTGTTTATTAATTCCAGAAAAATCAACTCCAATCATCCTCGCTATATTTTTTTTCTAATCTACACGTAAAAATACGTCAAAATATATAAATTTGAATCACTGTAGAAAAACTTTTTTCGTTTTTTGCGGAAAAATACATTTTTTTCTGAAATTTATCATTTTTCTTCAAAAATTTGATAAAAATTGATCATCAACTCCAATCGCGCTTACATTTTTTCCCTGTATTTTTCACGCAAAAATTGAGTTTTACAGCAAGTATGAACAGTCTGGATTGAATATTGTGTGCGCTAGGGTAGAATAAATCATTTTTTTCTAAATTTTTGATTTTTCCTTGACAACGCTATGTAAATTAATCCGAATCAAGTTCGCTATAATTTTCCTGTAATTTTCACGTAAAAATACGTAAGTGTGTCAAATTTGAGCTCTTTATGTCAAAAGATGTGGCCGCTAGGGGGGGGGGTACATACTCATTTTTAGGTATTTTTCGTAAAAATTCATGGTTTTTCCTTGACAACGCTATGATAATCAACTCCAATCATGCTCGCTATATTTTTTTTGTAATCTACACGTAAAAATACGTTAAAATATATAAATTTAATTTCCTTTAAATAAAATTTTGTTCGTTTTTGGTGGAAAAATACATTTTTTTCCTAAAATTGTCATTTTTTCTTGAAAAACTTGATAAAAAGTTAATCATCAACTCTAATCGTGACCGCTTTTTTTCCCCTGTATTTTTCCCGTAAAAATACATTTGTATACTAAATATGATCTGTCTGAGTTGTGTGCGCTAGGGAGAATAAATTATTTTTTTCGAAATTTTTGATTTTTCCTTGACAACGCTAGGGGGGGGGGGGGTACATAGTCATTTTTAGGCATTTTTCGTAAAAATTCATGGTTTTTCCTTGACAACGCTATGTTAATCAATTCCAATCAAGTTCGCTATAATTTTCCTGTAATCTACACGCGAAAATACATATGTGTACTAATTTTCAGCTCTCCAGATAAATTTATGTGGCCGCTAGGGGGGGGGGTACACGATTTCAAAAAAACCGATATTAATAGGGTTCCGAACCGAGTACGGAACCCTAAAAATAAACATTATTATGATAAACATGTTCATCCTGTAAATTATAAAATTGGTGATATGGTTAATTTAAAAATAAATATTAGAAATGATAAAAAATTTGACCCATTTTTTGAAGGTCCTTACGAAATTCTTGAGCTAATTGGTGAATCTAATGCTAAAATAAAAAAAGTTAATACAAATCAAACGAAAATCGTTCATAAAGATCAATTACAGTTAAAACGAATTGATTAAATTTGAGGAAGAACCGATTTTCTTTGTGTTGGTAGCGCCAACGGTCGTCGGCGGTACTATAGTGTCGAAGTTTTGGCGCCGCTTATAAAAACACGTTCGTCGCAACTATTGCATTTCATGGGTTGAGAACCACTGATTTCCTTGAATTGTATACAAACAACATGTGACTTTGTTGTATCGAGTCTGTTTTGATTTTTGGTTTTTCCTTATAATTTGAATAATAATGTACGCTGCAAATGATTATTGGGACCGTTGTTGTCCTCACAGACAGATTTCTAAGGAAGAATGGACTTTAGAAGAATTTAATAAAATCCGACTTCCGATTGTAAGTAGGAAGTTAGGTTATCTTGTCGATTAAATTGTCTTTTTGGTTGGTTGTTTTTGTTGAAAATGTACATAAAAAAGTAAAATATTATTTTTTTATGAGAAAATAATAATAATAATAATAAGTAAAATAAAAAAAAATAGGTCTTGAATATTGTCCGTCATTACTCTTTACTTTTCTTTGGGTCGCATTACAGACGTGCCCTTTTTTTTAGGCTACCCTCGAATTATTTAAAGGAGATGGAACTCCATACGTTTGCCTGTCAGCAAACGTATGGATGAGAAATGACGTTGAGGGGACGGTTTGGAGGTGCATTAATTGCGTTGGTGAAGGGTGGCTTCCTCCTGGCGGTGTGGGAGAGGTGCTTTGTGCATTTCCTCATTTCAAATCAAAATTTGAGGACTGAAAGGGGTTGTCCGGGGTGCGGTAATGTTGAGGTTTTTACCGTACATTTTCCTAGCGCATGTTGGAAATGTCTATATGGGCATTTGGCGCATTGCGCATCTGCACTCATGACACGGCCCTAAAAGTTATTCAGATTATTGACTCGGAGACTCTTCCATATCTCCGATGCTATTATTGTTTGCCTGGATTACGACCTGGGCCGCGGGACTTCTTTTATTGCCAAATTGACCTGCCGCCGGTAGAACAGGTGGGTGCTGGGCTGGCTCCTCTTCAACAGGGTCAACCGGAAGTACCTGCACCGGAAGTTGAACCGGAAGTGGCTGACAATGTTGATGTCGATATTCTCGACGAAGCTTTACGCCAAATTCTTCCGATCGAGATCGAAGAAGAAGAAAATCCATTTATTTTCCATAATGGACCCGTCGACTTCGATTTTCTTTAAAAAAAGAAAAAAAATAATTTTTTTTTGCTTGTTTTTTTTTATTATTTTTATTTTTAAATTTAATTTTTTTTGTTTGTTTAAAAATGTCCAAGTTAGCCCCGTGAGGGGAAGAGGTATACCCCCACTCTACCCTCCGGGCCATAAACACGGAGCTCGAGGAACGCATGCACCGCGGGGGGCCTGAGCAGCGTTCTCGGGCCTAATGACATTTTCTATTTATGGCCCCTAATGAGTTTTTCCTTAAAATTATAAAATTTTTTAATATTGACAATTTTTAATTTTTTTCAGCATATGCGTGACCTGGACAGTTATTGATTGGTGATTCTGATAGAAAAAAGTTTTCTCTATCAGAATCACCAATCAATAAAAAATCGATTTTTTCGGACAAAAGGTCCCTTTTAACTGTCCAGGTCACATATTCACATTCCTCATAATTTCACGATTACGAGCATGTGTTGTCCCAATTAAAAATGTTAATATTTAAAATGTTTATAATTTTTATTGAATTATGTTGCCTGAATTCCCCAGTATTGATCTAGTCATTACACAGAATAACTTTTTTAATAAAAATTAAATATTTTCAAATATCAACATTTTTACCCCTCATTTTTTTGCGATTCAGACATAATTTTTTTTTTAAATGTTGAAATTTAAAAAGTTTTAATTTTTTTTTAATCACAATTTTTCCTTCACAATTTTTCCAGGCTTAGGACTGGCAGATACACTGAAAGAAAATGTATATTAGATTTCAATTTTAACAATTTATTGAAATTTAATATATATTTTCGTTCAGTGTACTGGCATGTTTAAAAAATGTGTTTTTTTATTTTTTAAAAATAAAAAAAAATAAGTCATTTTTAAATTCATATACTTATTCATATATTTATAAATGCGCTTAAAAAGCACAATAATTGTTTTCTAATTCGTAGCTTTCAAAGCTGGTGTATTTATAATAAAATGCGCTTAAAAAGCACAATAATTGTTTTCTAATTCGTAGCTTTCAAAGCTGGTGTATTTATAATAAAATGCGCTTAAAAAGCACAATAAATGTTTTCTAATTCGTAGCTTTCAAAGCTGGTGTATTTATAATAAAATGCGCTTAAAAAGCACAGTTTTTCATACCTTTGTATGTTTGTTGTTTGCAGTTTGTTTCCATGAGATGTCTGTTTCTTTGGCAAAATTTCTGAAAAAGCTCACTGAAAGAATCAGTGATATAAAATACCATTAATTAAATTAATGAAGTTGATAATATCGGGAAACAGATTTCACGAATTCTAAACGATTTATTTTATTGTCATTAAACTCGTTAATTTTATTCAAAACATGATTATATTTTTTTTTTTAATAAAAGTTTTGAAATGTATAGGGGGTAAGGATGCTGTTGCATTTAAATTGGGTTTCAACTTGAACTTCCAACAAAACTTCAATCGTTTTGTAAATTGATGGATGCGTATGATAGAACGACTTATTAAAGTGTGAATGAAATGATTCACATGCATTAGTCGTTCTTGTTAAAGCAGCAGTTTTTTTGGCACAGATCTTAGGAGAAAAACGTGCTTCATCACGAATATAATTAGCAGTTAAATAATCCGCGAATTTTATCACCCTGTCATCTAAAGGAATACACGATAGCAAATCAAAAGCAAAGCAATGTTTTACTTCTTGCGGATCTAAAAACATTAAACCGAAGCAAACGCGTAACCATTCACCAATTACAGAATCATTATTTTTATAATCTACTACAAGCCCAAGCTCTTGAATTTTCCTGAACCACGATTGAGACAAATGGAAACGACACCCAATAATCGTGGAACTTGGCCAAACAGTTTTTATGGAATTATGAATTGCAACTTCAAAATCTACAACTACAGCGGATGGATTTAAATGAAAGCCTTTCTCCTCACAAAGCATGCAAAGTTTCTTGAAACAATCAATATAAGTTGTTTCGCGTTTATTTGGGAGTAAACAAAAAGCAAGAGGTAATGCCCATTAAAAAAGCCGTGCAAACACAGAAAATTAAAAGGCATTAAAATAAGCTGCAACGCTTATTATTTTAATCCAATTTTGCTTATTTTAATACTAAAATGGATTAAAATAAGCAAAATTGGATTAAAATAATAAGCGTTGCAGCTTATTTTAATGCCTTTTAATTTTCTGTGAAGTAAAAATTTGTTTATAAAAAGCAGTTGCATAATCGAATGATCCATCAAGGTAGATGGTTTCCGATTCTGCAAGAAATTTTAAATTGTTAATAGTTCCAAAAATTATTTATTTGATAAATTATCATTTAAAAGTACAAAATTTTTATTAAATTTACTTTTTACTGACATTTTATCAAGAGAAATGTGAGTTTCTAACAAATTCGAAGGAAGTGTAGGGAGCATTTTTCTACGTTCACGATATAAAACTTTTTTAATATTTCTAAAATCTTTAATGCTTAAATCTTTATGTTCGGGCATTATACAAGAATGAATTAATTTTGCCGGCTTTTCACAGGCATTATCTAATGCTTTACGTTTAACACCAGTTCTTAAGGATTGTTTTTGCAAATTTACATTATCTACAGGAGGATGATTGTGGATTAAGCAACTTTTATCAAGAAATATTGAACGCGGTACACTATTTGAAGAACATAAAAAGGATTTACAATTAATAAAAACACACCTCCGCCGAAGTCCACCACCAGCATAGAATTTATGAAAGCGAAATTTATAATTTTCAAAAATTAATAAGGGTTTACCTTGAATCGTCTCCGATTCGATCGCAGAGAAAGCACACGCAGGTTCCATCACTAGTTTAGAAGTCAACAATAGACTGACAGCTAAAAAAAATAAACAGCATATATGCTGTTATGACATTCAGTGCACATGCGCACTTGAACAGTTTCCTGATTGGTCAAAAATAGCGCGTTCATTTAAAACAATATAAAACCAAAATTTGATCAAAACCAGTCACATGTTTAGATATTTGAAAGTGTAATACATGCAACTATGTATTTTAGAATAAAATAACCAGTCCTAAGCCTGGAAAAAATGTGATTAAAAAAAAATTAAAACTTTTTAAATTTCAACATTTAAAAAAAAATTATGTCTGAATCGCAAAAAAATGAGGGGTAAAAATGATGATATTTGAAAAGATTTAATTTTTATTAAAAGAGTTATTCTGTGTAATGACTAGATCAATACTGGGGGATTCAGGCAACATAATTCAATAAAAATTATAAACATTTTAAATATTAACATTTTTAATTGGGACAACACATGCTCGTAATCGTGAAATTATGAGGAATGTGAATATGCTAAAAAAAATAAAAATTGTTAATATTAAAAAATTTTATAATTTTAAGGAAAAACTCATTAGGGGCCATAAATAGAAAATGTCATTAGGCCCGAGAACTGCGCTTTACATCTCTCAGCTACCTTAGCAGCTTATCGTATTATGCATTGGAAACATATTTGACGCAATCAATCCCTGCCTAGTGCTTGGTTACTGTACTGTGTCTTCTAAAACAGTTCAAGAAACTTTTAACACCCAGGCACTGAGATATTCCGATCGCGGCATTAACAAGAAGTCTTCCAATGTCATAATAAAAATACAAGTATTTTCTTGAATGATTTTTGTATTTTTCTGTAAATTTTGCAGAATTTTTCTCATATTCTCAGTTCCTGAACAAATTTAGGAATGATTCTTGAACAAAGTTTTTCCGTGTATAAAATGTCATTAGGCCCGAGAACGCTGCTCAGGCCCCCCGCGGTGCCTTGTTCACTCAAGGCACTAGTTCGGTCCCGGCCGGTAGAGTGGGGGTATAGTGCTTCCCCTCACGGGGCTAACTTGGACATCGCCCATTAGTACTGAGTTGGTACTGAGCCCTCAGTTCCAATTTTCCAGTACCAATCCAGTACCACCCTTCCGGCAGGGAAATAGTAAAATCGGAAAAAATACCAGTTATCCTGAGTTTGTGTACTTTCATTTGCCTCCAAGAAATTAAAAATTTATTCACATATAAAACGACAGGAAGTAAAATAGGAAGCGAGTATAAACATTTGCGTAGTACTGAAAATTACGGTCTGGGGCAGCACCTAACGGCTACAAAAAAATTTCTTATTTTAATTCCTGACGTCGTTTATCGTAATGAATTTTTAATTTCTTGCGCGTAAATAAAAGTACAACATTTCAGGATAACTGGTATTTTTTTCGATTTTTCCGTTTCTATCCGAGTTGAGAGAAAAATCATTTTTACATTAAATGCACCTACGAGGAGCCAAATTTTGAAAGACAACAACTGCTTGCCATTGCGGACCGCCGTTAAGCTAAAAATTAGATTTGTTCTTCTTGGAATATTATATTATTTTAAAATTTGATTGATTGAAAATTAAAAATCCGTTAAAACGTTTCTGAGGTAAGTACACAATATTTTGTGACATACACACACACATACATCTGGACATTTGCTCAGGACTTCATATATATTATTTCTAGATGAAAATGAGTCCATTCGAAACACGTCACGAATGCAAAGCTACCTCATGAGGAAGCAAAATTACTAATTCAAAAATATATAATAATATAAATATAATTTATTTTTATATTTGCAACTTTGTGCTCCCTGCATGCTGCTGCCATCTGATAGCGACTGGACGTAATCAATCTCCTACAGGTTGTCGCATTTCATATTATACTTTCCTATTTCCCGTTTTGCAAACGGGTTTTTTTTGCGTGAATTCGAACAATCTTTCGGATTTTAAAAATTTCGAGTAAATAAAAAAAGAAAAATATCAGCTTAATTTTTATGTTTTAATCACAATTTTTTAACAAAATTCTGCAAATTTTTTAGATATAAAGACAAAAAATTGCATATTTTCTGTTTCATGAATGTTTGATTTGTAACTTATTTTTTTCATTAATAATTTTTTTATTAAGGGGTCGTGCACATAATACGTCACACAATTTTTACCCTTTTTTGACCCCCCACCCCCATGTCATACTTGGTTCCATACATTAGCGCCATTTTTTCTATGGGTTGTCACAAATCTCTAGACCCCCCTCCCCCTGTTCGCGTGACGTATTATGTGCACGACCTCTAATAATTAAATAATTATAAATTAATTTAACATAAGCAATGTAGAAATGGACTCTTAAGAAGTTCATTTCTTAGTTACAAAATGTTTTTTCTAACAATTTTAGCTGATTTTTCAACTATACATTTTACTGTTCTTATTGAGAATCCTTCTCGTTGATCAGTATCAGACCATTGTTATATTCGATTTTTTCTCCTAAAATAAATGTTTATTATTTCTCATTTTCATAACCCTAAGTGTCGTTATTCGTGCACCCAAGTCGCTAATTCTAACAGCCCTATCGAAAATTCCGACATCGGAACATAGATTGTAGCCTACATCTGAAACGTTATCTAAATGCATATAGGAAACTATATCGGGAACCATATGGGATGCTATATCGGAAACTATACAGGAATCGATGTTGGAAATTGGGACAGGCAAAGATGTATTTTCCCATATAGTTTCCGATATGGTTTCTACCCAGTAGAAAATTCCGACCTCGTTTACGACGTCGTATTCTAAGTAGTTTGCGACGTAGTAAACGACGTAGAAAACGACATAGTAGCAAACTACGTCGTTTACTACGTCGTTTACGATGTTGCAAAAATTATTTTAATATTATTTATTTAGTAATTTAGTAAGTCCAATATCCAATATTAAAAATTTTAATAATAATTTAAAAAATCAATAATTTAAAAAAAATTTATTTTTATTATTTTTTAATAGTTATTATTATTATTTTATTTTTAATATTTAAATTAAAATAAAAAAATGGTCATCAAAATATTAGTGAAACCATTTCTTCCAAAAAAGAATTTGTCTCAAATCCAATAAAGGAGAGACATCGGGCAGAAAAAAATTTCGACAAGAAAAAAATTTTCGATCACTGCTTATATACCAATCTAATGGCACCTCAACTGCGAGAAACAGTTATGATGTTCGCCCTCCCTGTGGCGTTGAGCGAACTTAAGTCCAGAGCTGAGCCATCAGCGCAGCGCGGAAACATTTGAAAAATTTGATTTTATTAGATATTTTATTTTATTTTAAATATGACAAATAATTAACTTAATAAATAATTCATGTCATAAATAATTATTAATAACATAATGTCATACTTAATAATTCGTTAATTAATCATTTTTAACGAAAATTTGACAAAAAAAAAATTTGTTGGACAAAAAAAATATTACCATTAAAAAATAATTTTTTTGTTAAATTTTCGTAGTAAAACAATTGTTTATAATTTAAAAAAAAATATCACAATAAAATTGAATTATTTTTTAAAAATTTCAATTCAAAATAAACTAAAATTCAATTATTACCCGAGATTTTAATTCAAAATCAATTAAAATTCAATAATTATCCAAAATTTTCAATTTATAATTTAATTATTTACCAAGTTTTCAATTTGAAATAAAATTCAATTATTTTCGTGCTCCCGGTTTTTGGCCAATTTTTTGCTGGTTTAAGTCTTTTTTATGCATTATTTTATTATACGTTTTTTTTGGATTGCATTTTGCGATACAGTTCTCTCAACACATACCATTTTTTACACGGTATTTTGTATAGTTTTTTATATTTCTGAACGCTCTGAAATTTCCGCGCATCATGAGTGATTCAAATTTAAACTTGACTGATAAGTTTTGTGTTCGGTGTTCTAAAAAAGTTGTGGATGCTCTAGAAGTGTGTAAGATTTGTAATGCACCTTATCATTCGTCCTGTGCATCCAGAACTTCTTTATTGGAGAGTGGTGCATTCTCGCGATGTTGTGGTCCGCCACGTGCTAAATCTCCTGTCACGGTCACGCTAGATGTTCCCCCCACGACCTCTCAAGCAAATGCAGTTGTAACTGTTTCTGATATTGAAAGAATAATTAACAACGCTATGACCGGTTTAAATAAGAGACTCGATATTATGTCTGAATCTATTTCGGACATAAAAAGTGATATTGGAAACCTAACCTTAAATGTGCATGATATAGTCGATGACCTTGGTATTTTGCGCAATACAGTTGGTGACACTGTTCAGAGAGTCGACGATTTAACTGAGAGAATTACAAATATAGAAGGTAATTTGCAGGATCTAACTAATAATATTTCTACTAATGTAGATAATTTCTCTCAAATTAATAAATATGCTATCGAAATTGAGGAAAGAATTAAACGCAAATGCAATTTAATATTATTTGGACTTTTTGAATCTCGCGCCACTACAATTGACAAAGACGATATAAATGATGATAAAAAGAATGTCTTAAATTTTATTTCGACATTTTTTGATTCATCAACAATTACCGATATTAAAACTTATAGAATTGGAAATTTTAAACAGGATCACCAGAGACCGAGACCTTTGAAAATTGTGCTGTCAAATTACACTGTAGCAAAGTCACTACATCGGAAGTTCATGTCAGCAAAGAAGGCTGAACGAGACAATTTAATGAAAGGGATGTCATTACATCCAGACAAAACAAAATACCAGCTAGAAGAGGTAACATCACTGAAAAAACAACTGGATTTACGCATTTCTCAGGGAGAGAAAAATCTCTGCCTGACATTTCGACATGGAACACCGGCGATAACCAAACGCACACTGCCAGTGGTAGCAGACTTATCGACTACATCCACATCGCACGTTGTGAATTAGCTGCTGACGTCAGACTCGCAGATTTCGGTAGTGTTAGTTGTGACACTCATACACAGCCTTCTTTTCATCCGCCTATCCCCTCTACTGTTATACAAACTCCCTGTTATAATGATTCTGTTACTCATAGCAGACGTTCTATGAGAAACAATATCAGTATATATTATCAGAATGTGAGAGGGCTTAGAACAAAATTAGATGTTTTACGCCATAATCATAATGTAATGAGTATTGTAATGAGCTAGATTTTTTCGGTATATCATTAGATAGATTTATCCGTGATTTGCGTAAATTAATTTTTGAGTAAATGTGTGACTGCCAAGGCGATTTGTTTTTCTGCTTCTAATTTGATAATGTAAATTTATTAACTAGTGCTTTTGCACAAAAGGGCATTTTTCTTTTTTTTGTAAGCCCGTACATGGTAATTAAATAAATAAATAAATATTTTCTAAAATTTCTATTCAAAATTAATTATCCAAATTTTCAATCAAAAATGAACTTAAATCGACTTAAATTAAATTATTATCCAAAATTTCAATTAAAATTCAATTATTTCCCAAAATTTTCAATTCAAAATGAACTGAAATTCAATTATTTTCCAAATTTAAAATCAAATAAAATTTCATTATTCTCAAAAATTTGAATTCAAAATTAATTGAATTTTCAATAATTTGAATTTAAAAGCATCTAAAATTTCTAAAATTTTCCATCGAAATTTTTTTTTTTGAAATTTAATAATTTCAATTATAACTCTAAGGAAATTCAAATATTTTTAACTATTTTAATAATATTCTTTGAAAATTCAACTATGTGAAACCATTTTTCAATTAAAAATGATTTTCAAATTATTGTATTTTGTCCGCATTTTCTAATAAATTTTTAGTGAAATCATCTAAAATTTTAATTACAAAACACTTAAAGTTTCAATTAATTTCAAAAATCTCAATTTTAAATCTTTGAAAATTCAATTAAATTTAAAAAATGTTTTCCAAAAATTGTTTGATAAATTATTTTTAGTTCTGTAAAATTTAATAATTGTTTGAAAATTAACAATATCTTTTGAAATTTAATTATTTCTAAAAATTTCAACTTTAACCCTTCGCAAAGGATTATTATTAAAAAAAAATTTTTATTTAAAAATCTGTAAAATATTTTTGTTAAAATGAAAAACAAATCCACTTTTTTTGGAATATAAATCGACTAAAACGACTGTTTTGTGTCTTTAAGTTGATTCGAGGCCTGTGTTTTTATAATTAATATTTAATAGGTAATCGTTGGCCCCTGGTACCTTAAAAATAAATTTTTTTCAAATTACTATCTTGTACGAAATTTCCTGGCGCATCTTTTTTCTCATCATAAATTTTTTGTATTTGTATACAATTCTGAATCAATATACAATTTTTGAATTAATATACAACTTAAAAAAAAATTTCGTTGGTAAACGTTGTGTACTTCAGCTTCGTAAATTGAATTTTCGAATTTGGAATTTTAAAGAAACTTATTCCGAAATTTGGAAACACAATTATACAACTTTGGCAAAAATGAGAAAAAGAATTGTGAAAATTTGACACGTCATAAGATTACTATTCAAAAAAACACGTGAAATCAGAAAAGGCCAACTTCAAGTTAGGACAGAAAGACAGACCAAACATTTTATTATTATAAAATTATTTAAATAATTTCTTTACAGAGAAATTTTGACTAAAAAAATTATTTTCTCATCGTGATATTTTATTTGTGCCACAAATAATTTTTTTACTGAGAAAATTTAAAAATAAGTAAATTTCTCATCGTAATATTTTTTTGTGCTACGTATAATTTTTTTGTTAAATTTTTTTACAGAGAAATTTTTACAACAAAATTATTTTTCATCGTGATTTTTTTTAAAAACACAAATTTTTTTTTTCAAAGAAAATTTGAAAAAAAATTATTATTTTATCATTGTGTTATTCTTTTGTGCTACGAATAAATTTTTGGTAAATTTTCGTAGTAAAAAAAATCAACGATTTATTACGGTATTTAGTGAATTAATTGTTTTGGAGAGAAAATTTGACAAAAAAGTTATTTTCTTATCGTGATAATTTTTTTAGGCCACAAAATATTTTTTTTACAGAGAAAATTTAAAGATAATTAAATTTCTCATCTTGATATTATTTTTGTGCTACAAATATTTTTTTGTTACATTTTCGTTGTAAAAAATTAAGTAAATATTAATTACCGTAAAACAGGGTTATTTCGCTCAGTGCGGGTAAAGTCGCTCACCCATTTTTTTGCTTTAAATTTGATTAAAAACTAAAATTTAGTATTTCTATTAACAAATTTAACATTTTTACCTGCTAATAAATGTATTAAACTTTATTTTAAAGCTGAAATAAAGCATAAAAGTGGGTGAGCGAATTTACCCGCAATGAGCGAAATAACCCCGTTTTACGGTACGTTATTTAGTTAATTAATTTATTTACAGAGAAAATTTGACAAAAAATTATTTTCTCATCGTGATATTTTTTTTGAGCTACCAATAAATTTTTTGCAAATAAAATTTTAAAAAAATTATTTTCTCATGGTGAAATTTTTTCTGTGCTACGAGTAATTTTTTTTGTTAATTATATTCTCATCGTGATATTTTTTTAGGTCACAAATAATTGTCTTGAAAAAATTTTTTTTACTACGAAAATTTAACAAAAAAATTATTTTTTAATGGTAATATTTTTTTTGTCCAACAAATTTTTTTTTTGTCAAATTTTCGTTAAAAATGATTAATTAACGAATTATTAAGTATGACATTATGTTATTAATAATTATTTATGACATGAATTATTTATTAAGTTAATTATTTGTCATATTTAAAATAAAATAAAATATCTAATAAAATCAAATTTTTCAAATGTTTCCGCGCTGCGCTGATGGCTCAGCTCTGGACTTAAGTTCGCTCAACGCCACAGGGAGGGCGAACATCATAACTGTTTCTCGCAGTTGAGGTGCCATTAGATTGGTATATAAGCAGTGATCGAAAATTTTTTTCTTGTCGAAATTTTTTTCTGCCCGATGTCTCTCCTTTATTGGATTTGAGACAAATTCTTTTTTGGAAGAAATGGTTTCACTAATATTTTGATGACCATTTTTTTATTTTAATTTAAATATTAAAAATAAAATAATAATAATAACTATTAAAAAATAATAAAAATAAATTTTTTTTAAATTATTGATTTTTTAAATTATTATTAAAATTTTTAATATTGGATATTGGACTTACTAAATTACTAAATAAATAATATTAAAATAATTTTTGCAACATCGTAAACGACGTAGTAAACGACGTAGTTTGCTACTATGTCGTTTTCTACGTCGTTTACTACGTCGCAAACTACTTAGAATACGACGTCGTAAACGAGGTCGGAATTTTCTACTGGGTAGAAACCATATCGGAAACTATATGGGAAAATACATCTTTGCCTGTCCCAATTTCCAACATCGATTCCTGTATAGTTTCCGATATAGCATCCCATATGGTTCCCGATATAGTTTCCTATATGCATTTAGATAACGTTTCAGATGTAGGCTACAATCTATGTTCCGATGTCGGAATTTTCGATAGGGAGGTATCAATGGAAGCGTAATGAAAATTCGCATCTAATAAACATTGTAACAATTAAAAATTTTAGATATATTTTTAATATAAAATGGATGTTTTAGTTTGCAGAATTAGTGTAAAATGACGAATTACAGAGGAATAAGTTACGCAAACGACTTTGCGTGCTTGCTGAATATTTGAACTTCTGTGCAATACGTCACAAGTTTTTCTATATGGAATTGAACTAAAAATACAACGAAACCGACCGCTTATAAAAAATTTGCGTGCCCATTTTTTAATACAGTTTGTATAAATAATTAAATTTTTTTGCACAAATAAAAAGAGTGCTTATTAAGAAGACAGTTTTCTTTGAATTTCTCGTCTCAACTCAAACTGCACAAACCGCAGTTTTTCCATTGTACAGCAAAATTAATTAACTTCATTAATTCAAATTTATAAAATAAAGAAAACAATAAAAATTTTAATATTATTGATTGAAAATATATATTTTTATCTTATTTACATTTTTAAATGAAAAGAAACTATAATAACGAACAACGAACAATACAAATAATTTATTCATTACTCAAATATTCAAAAAACACAAACTTATTTTCATTCAGTCATTCATGTTTGAAATACACCGCTTTAAAAGCGATAGGTATACATAATATACTGAATTGTTTTTATTAGTTCTCGAAATTTAACTCCTTCCCACATAGCACGACTTCTTGCTGTGAGGTTACTGTAAGGATATCTGTTACCGTGTAAGCCTACAGTAAACTTCCAGTAAGGTTACTGTAAGGATACTGTAAAAATAGAGTAATATGGAAATATATTAAAAATAATTATATTATAATATATATTAGGGTCAACTGGGGTAAATCCGAACGCTTTTAGTAAGTTTCAACAATAACATAAGTTTTTTCTTTAAAAAAAAAATACTTCCGGTATTCTGGTGCATGAAGTTGTTACTTTACTTCCATAGAACAATTTTATGGGGTAGAAAAATTTTTTGATAAATTACAATTGCAGGAAACTTAGCGTTCGTATTAACCTCGATACTTTGCAACTTTCCTAAAATATGGGGGTAAATACGAACGCCACTGTATTTCAGAAAAATCTTAGGGAAAATAAATTTAAAGTATTGCAATTGTTAAACTTATATAAAAACTCAAATAAAATACGATAATAAACCTATTATGTAATAATGCATCATATATAAATACAAAAATCAAACAGGTTAAAAATTAAAATGCATTACACAATTAAAACCTTCAATAACTTTATCAAATCATAACGGATTTTTGCAAAACTTGCTACAGAAAGTATTTTGGAGTGATTGAATGTAAATACAAAAATAAAAGTCAAATTTTTTAAATTCAAAATGGCGTACTTTCCTAAAACTTATTTTTAAAAATGATCAAATTTGCTAACCCTGAAACCCCCCGAGTAACAATTTTCGAGCGAATCCAATGAATTTTTTAATTCTCGTCCGCCATTTTGAATTTTGAAAAACTGACTTCAAATTGGTAATTAGCGACCCCAAAAACCGTAGAATACCAAATTTTATTAAGATCCTGAAAAACTTTTTTCAACAAACCATTTGGCAAAAAAATTGAAACACTCCTTCGAGAGAACAGAGATTAAGTTTCTGCTTATTAATTACTAACGAGGATACGTATAGAAAGAAAAACTTTTTTCTATGTACTTTTATAATGTTAAAATAATAGTGTAATGAAATAAAAACAATTTTGTGTGGCTTTGAAGTAAAAAAAAATTATTAAAAATACCGTTCGGATTTACCCCAGTTTTCCAATTTTTTTGGGTAAATACGAACGGTCTGATATTATTAATAAAATTTTACAGAAGGCAAAAATCAAATATAGTTTCTGTTCTAGTATTCATAACAAACAATTATAAATAATAAAATGAATTTTTAGCTTCTTTTTCTTCAAATACGAGACAAAATACTGAAAGAGTGTCATCTTTGATTTTCAATCTTTTTTGCAATACTCGTTATCTTTGTTTATGCTGTTGCTAATTAACAAACAAAAAATGGGATAATACTTAGAATCTCTTCAAGAGGATCTGAGGTAAAAATTCTCATATCGAACTTATTTTTAAAAATTTTAATTAAGCTGAAATAATTAGCGTTCGGATTTACCCCCCGTTCGGATTTACCCCGACTGACCCTATATTATAAATTTTTTTTATAAAAAATTATATATTTGGTAAAGTACTTCATGAACTCTTAATAGGGTTTGTTAAATAAAATTTACTGCGCAGCCGTATGTGCCATAGAAAACTACTGCGCATAAATATTAATAAAATTTATTTATTAATAACATTCCCTGTTTATAGTAACCTTACGGGAAGCTTACAACAACCTTACCGAGTAAGCTTACCACAACCTTACCATGTAAACTTTACGCGACCTTACTGTATAAGCTTACCTTAGTTTACTGTGTAAGCTTCCTGTAATGGCGGAAGTTTTAAGATGACCTTAAGTTTACTGTAGACTTACACGGTAATCCGACAAACCCTACAGATATCATTACAGTAACCGCACAGCAAGAAGTCGTGCTATGTGGGTTTATTGTAATCCGAAGGCCAAAGAAAAATAATTCGGAAACAGAATAAAAAATTAAGAATATTTTATAAATTATAAATATTATCTTTACTACATTTAGTTAAATAAAAATAAAAAAATGTCTTTACACTTGTTAAAAAAATTTCATAAACATTTTTAATTTATACCTTAAATGATTTCTTATATCATTTAAGTTAATAACTTAATAAAGCAACTGGCATTACTCAAAAAACGCAATATTTTCTTTATTCGGATATCCGCTGGGGGCGTGGCTTAGCATATTATTCTACGTTCAGTAGTACCATTTTTCACCACTATGTCTGAAAGTTACTCTGATTCAAAAATGTTTTCAACAGAGAGCGCTTCACAGTAACGGACATCCCAATATTGAACTGACTTTTTATTATCGATAGAAATAGGCGAAGCAATAATTAAACGATGCAAGTCAGAAGTGTCAAAGTACGAAACAATTTCAGAGACGACAACATCAGGTAACTTCACTTTTAGAACTTCAAGACAGTGATAAGCTAATTCCAATAATCGACACTCAAGTTTACCTCTCATCACACAAACTTTCAATTTACCGGCATATAAAGGGAATTTTTCTTCGAAATTTATTGCATCTAACAAATCAACAACAGTCTTATTTCGCATGTACATACCAATTGCTCTATGTGGTTTTATTAACAAATCATAAATCGATATATTAAATCCAGTAATTTTTAATGATTTCATCCTTTGAATTTCTTCAAGACACTGAGATTGAAAATCAGCAATTTCAGTAGAATTCACGGAAATATGAAAATTCTCTAAATTCGCAGCAATAGATTTTACTTGATACCTTGCACAGTGACTTTGATCAACAATAAAAATTTCGGGAGTTAAATCCACAACTTTTGCACCGTAATTAAATACAAGATCAACTATTTCAAGGACACGTTTATCACAATCATCATCAAACTCATCCAATGCATTAAATACCGATCCTATTTTAAAGGTGTTACATGCATTAACAAAAGCACCGTAGTGTAAAAGAATTTTTGCAACATTTACATCACCATAACGCATAGCCTTATAAAGAGGGTATTCATTATAATCATTAATAGAATTTACATTAGCGCCGGCTTCTAAAAGTAAGCGAATGCTTTTCATATTATCCTCTTCAATTGCCAAAAATAGTGGTGTTTCACCAAACTTATCTCGAGCTTCAATATCAGCTGATTTCATTAAAAACCTGGTAACATCTACAGAGAATTCTTTAATTGAAATATGAAGTGGAGACATTTGATGTTTATCCATTGCATTTATATCAGCACCACATTGCAAAAGTTGTTCAACAACAGTTAGATTTTTAGCTTTACAAGCAAAATGAAGTAATGTATATCCATCTTGCAATTGACAATTTACACTTATGTTAGGTGTTAATAAATTATGAACAATATCGCTGAATCCATGTCTGACAGCACCCAGTAGTACTTCAAACTCAATGAAAGATTTCTTTAATTCTTCAATATTGGAAGTTTTTGGCTTCTGCAGAAGCTTTTTCACAAACGATCTAAATTTTTTGTCAGTTGACTTTTTTAGCCAAGAAGAATACAATTCTTCAGGTAAAAACATATCCTTTAAGTCTTCAATAAAAATCGTGAAACCGAAGTCAACAAATATTTCACTTACACATCGATCATTACAACCCTGTTTTCCAGAACAAAAATCATATTTATTGTAGTGATTGACAAAAGATAGACAAAATGCCATTTTAAGGTCCTTATCGTTGACGTCAGGTTCTTCACCTAAAAGACTTTTTACATCCAACGTACAATGTCTTCTAACGGCATAATTTAAAGGAATCATACCAAAGTTGTTTTTAACTGTAATATTAGCGCCGTTTTGAAGTAAAATTTTTAAAAAGTCATCTTTTTGATCGAATGGAAAAGGGAGTTCATAGTCAGCTGCCAAGTGTAAAGGTGTGCAGCCTGTATTTGTAGTAGCATTAACATTTAATCCTTTTTCCAATAAAAGAAGTGTGATTTCTTTGTTGCGTTCTTTGGCAGCGAGATGAAGTGGCGTTTCACCTAATTTTGATACTGCATTTATGTTTGATTCTTTTTCCAGTAAAAAAAGAACAACATCTTTTAAATTATACTTTATAGCTAGATGCAATAGAGTATAACAATTGTCATCCTTATCTTCAATGTTTCCTCCATTATTGAGATAAATTTTTATTTTGTAAAGACTGTAAAGGCTGCTCATACATGGATCTTTGGAATAATAAAAAGGTTTACGATTAATGTTATTTTGAATGTCAATATCAGCGCCGTTGTCTAGCAGAAGTTGAGCGATATCAATATAATTTTTCATAACGGCAAAGTGCAATGGCGTGTACCCCTCATTGTTTGATGTATTTACAGTTGCTCCTTTTGATAACAATATTTCTACAATTTTCTTATTTTTTAATATGACTGCAATGTGAAGTGGCGTTACAGTTTGTTCTTCAGAAACTTCTGGATGTTCCGATTCATTACAATTAGCAGAATTTTTAGGATTATCAGGATTATCAGGACTTGCGAGGAAAAGCTGAGAGATACTTTTATATTCTTTGAGATTAGAATGATGCAACTCTGTGTCTCTGTCATGATTCCTTTCATTGACGGTAACATTTTCTAATAGAATTTCAGTCATTTCTATATCTTCCGTTGTAACTGCAAAGTAAAGTGGAGTGTCAGTTTCGCTTCCACAAACGTCACAATTGTTAAGATCAGCACCATTTTTTAGCAACTGCTTAGCAATTCTTTTGAAATATTTTTGAAAAGTAAACACCATAGATGTCAAAATGTCTCCTTCATTAACATCAGCTTCTCGCAACAACAACTTTTTTACCATTTTTTCAGAACCTCCTAAAACTGCAATGTGAAGTGGTGAGTACTTTTGTTCTAGACAATGGTGGACATTAACTTTGACTCCATGTTGCACAAGAAGTTCAGAAATCTTAATGAACTTTATCGTGGTGCTTATATCCTCTTTTTTAAAATTTATTAATGAACAAATACTAGTTAGTAGCACATTACAGAGCAATAAATATGCTTCATAAGATTCAAAGTAGTTAGTAAAGTTAATTCTTGAAAGAATGTCTCTTACACTGTTCTCATCTCCGGAATGACAAGCAGTTTCTAAAAGTTTAATTTCTTCAGTTGACATTTTTCCATAGGTATTCGTTTTATACAACCCAAAAGTATTTATTGGAATTGAGAAACCTGTAAACAAAGAAATTAAACATATTATACACGGCAAAGAATGAATTACCTACAGTTTGAATCAGTTCTTTTGTATTAATTATAGTAACGAGAAAAACATGTATGTAGAAATTATTTTGCTCATTACTATACGATAATTAAATAAGCAAATGTATATGTTTCAATTGTGTGAAAAAAAACAAACAATATTCTCAAAAAATAGTTAATATTTTTCAAAAATTTGAAACAGTTGACCACACTAATCAATTAATACAATATTGTCGGAAGAGTGGTACTGAATTGAACTGGGCTTGAGTACCACTCCAGTAAATTTACCTCATTGACAGTTTTAATCAACTTTTTAGTGAAATTGTAAAAAAAAACATATATAATACTTTGAATAAAACTCCCGTTAAGTTTCGAAATTTTTTTTTACTAAGATTGAATATTTCCTCGCTTTGGTTGAGGATTTTAAGTATTTGAGGATGTATTTGAGACCAAAATAAAGAAGTTTCAATAAAAAAATTGCTTCTTGGCCTTTAAACTAATCTGAAAACAAAAAATTTGTTCGATGATTCGTCGAATCAACATTGGTAACTTGGACGTCATTAAAGATGCACATTTAAACAATTAATAATTTAATTATTTGAGATCAAATTTTTTTCTTTCGCCGTAATTGAAACATTTTTAAGATTTCCATTGGCTTCAATTACGGTGGGCAAAGTATCTTCAAAATACGCGTAATTTTGGTCACCGTAATTGATACACTGAAACTGATACAAACGCGCCGTAATAGAAAATGGCGATATTAGTTTTAATTTCTTATAGTGTTTGTATAATATATGATTTTGGGAAGGTAAATTTGAATAAAATTCAAAAGTGTGTCGTTAAATTGGCGACGTTTCGTTGGCCAAGGTTTGCCAACCTCATCAGGCTAAATTAGTGTTAGCATATGTTCTAACTAATTTAGCCTGATGAGGTTGGCAAACCTTGGCCAACGAAACGTCGCCAATTTAACGACACACTTTTGAATTTTATTCAAATTTACCTTCCCAAGATCATATATTATACAAACACTAAACAAACTATGGAAGGATATAACTCTTATCTATTATTAATTTCTTATATTTGTTAAATAATCGATTTTTATAAAGTTTAATTTTTTTAAATATCTAAATAACATAATCTTTTAGTTTAATAAGTATTTAATTGACATTGTACAATAAAAATGTTAAATTTTCTATTTCAAAAGTGTTTTGACTCGAATCACGCCGTAATTAGTGCATTTACCCTATTACCATTTCTACATTATTTTTATATTTGCAATGTAATTTGTTCTAAAATAACAAATTTTATAAACAAATAAAGGGAAATAATCATTTTGATTAACAGTGCTAAATTTGAAAAAAATATTATAATTTTTGATTTTTATGCAACAGATTCTTATTCAGCACACTAAAAATTGTAAGAATAAGCCATTCCGATTAAGAAAAAAATTTCTATGAGTTTCAAATCAAAAATAAGTTAAAAATAACGTTTTTTGTATTTTCAATTGTATATTACAAAAAATCTGAGGGTAATTGAACATTATACCACACGAACTCAGTACACTCAAAACTATCATTTTTCGGTTCATCACAGGAAATAAAAACCTATTCAATATTTTTGAATCAGTCGGAAGCTGTGTAGAATCAGCATTCTTAAAGATAATCTCTGATTGACTCTGATTCAAATCATTTACATTTTTCAAGTTTTTCTTTAAATCTCTTTTATTAAAACTTATTAAATTTTGTGCAAAATATGACAACATAACCTAAAATTATTTGATCCGATTCAAAATTGTCTAAAACAGATTCATTAAATTTTTTTATTAATAGGAAATTATTTATCGAAACGAAAATAGTATGATGTAAAATTGGACATTATTTTTGAAAAAAAAACAAATATAATGTAAAAAGAAATATATAAAACGTTAATTTAAACATTTCGAAAGAGGTATTTGTATATTTTTAATTCTTTCAATTTCACTTTTCCGACAGAATAATTATAATTATAAAAATATATAAAAAGCTTATTCAGGAAGTTGTTTTGCAACTATATAACTTTTGTACTTTTAAAAACCGTTTATAAAAAGTCTAAAGAACCCCGCACCATATACATGGGAATTTGGGGTCCGGTGAAATTATTTCTTTCAACTTTGTAATTTTGTAGTTTTTGTTCTCCTGAACAAAAAATGTAAATGGCAAAATTCAAAAAAATGGACATATTTTTTAATAATTAAGGTTTAAGTTTAACAAAAAGTGTTAAAAGCGAAAAAAATTTAAAAATGAGTAAAAGCAAAAAAACTAAATAAACATTCATAAAACTCGTTACTCGGGGGTTTTCATGGTCACTGATTACCAATTCGACAACACTTTTTGAAAATCCAAAATACCAGATGCAGTATGGAGTTAACGTAATAACGTAACTGCTCATTCTGGACTCAGCTTACGAAATAGCACGACACGTTATAGAAACATTTCATATTGAATCAAGAAGGATAATGAAAAACCCTCGTTACACAGTTGAAAAATACATGATAAAAGATAATAAAAATATTATACCCCTACAAAAAATTGTACAAACCGAAACCAAATTTTTAATCATCGAGGCTTAAAAAGTCGTCTAGTAACAAGTTTTAAGTGAATAAAAATAATTTTTAAAAATTCTTCCGCCAGTCTGCATCCGGTATTTTAGATTTTGAAAAACTGGCATCGAATTTGAAATCAGCGACCCCGAGAACCCCCAAGTAACGAGATTCAAGTGAATGCAATGTATTTTAAAAAAATTGGTTGGCCATTTTGGATTTTCAAAAATTGACGTCAAATTGGTTAACACTTTTTGTTCAACTTAAACCTTAATTGTTAAAAAATCTGTCCATTTTTTTGAATTTTGCCATTTACATTTTTTGTTCAGGAGGTCAAAAACTACAAAATTACAAAGTTGCAAGAAATAATTTCATCGGACCCCAAATTCCCATGTATATGGTGCGAGGTTCTTTCTCGTTTCAATAAAAAAAATATTCAAAAATATTCTTTTTTAAAATAAATATGTTCCATTTAAAAACTGTTTTTTAAAATTTCGAAATTATTCTAAAAGCTATTACCTTTTTAAAAAAAACATAAAAATTTGAAGATATATTTGTACACACATATAAATACAGTAAAAAACTTATTGCGCACCGGAGACTATTAATATTTCAATTCTTTTTTAAAATTTTAATTTTTTTTTACTGATTAGTAAACAATTATCTTATATTTCTGTCAGATTTATCATAGATAATATAGTTTGACAAAGTTGGGAAACTGAGGTTGATGAAATATAAAGGAACCTCCGAAATGTGACAATGTTGAAGCAAAAGTTTGTTTTTGTTTGGTGCTAGACCATTAGGGTACGGTCACAGCTCAGTTGTATAAACAGGGTCGTCATGGCAACGTATAAGAGTGAGAGAAATAAAGAATAAGAATTTTCTTTCACTGTTATATGTTATCATGACGACTCTATTAGGCATTTTACCTTGTGACGTCAAAGGCTGATGACGTCGAAGCCTGGAGGGACAACAAACGAAAAAAACAATAAAGAACTGTCAAACAAGTGATTTTGAGGTTAAGTTTTTGAAGTTTTCAACGTTACCAACTGTAGATGGACTATAGTAAAATTATTTGTTGTCTCTCCAGGCTTCCAGCTGATCGGGCAGCCATATTTGAAAGTGAAATACCTAATTTATGTAGTTATATAATAAAGGTGCTTTTATACCTCAAATTTCGATCAGATGAACATTATTTCTGGACCGTGAAAATTTTCACGGCGGGTATTTTTGAATTGTTTTAAACAAAAAATGTTATTTTGAGAAATATAATATTAAATAATTGTTTTAATATGTAAGAACACTTTCAAATAGTAATAGAAAGATGATTTGATTGAAAAATTTAGCAAATTTTGCTTTAAAATGTTTTCTGCCTCAAGAAAGTGTAAAATGACGATGTTTGTGAAATGGTTTGTACAGTGCTTCTTCCTTGTGAGTGTCTCTCAGAGTTTTGTTTATGTTATGGGAGTTCTAACTTGGCAGCGGTAGTGACCGGACGGAATATGTTCCGGCACTCCATGCATTTTTAATCGATTTTGTTCTACCTATTATTTTTTCAAACAAGTTTTAGTTCATCTTAGTCAAGTTCTGTGTAGTAAATACTTATGATTTGTTCTGCTTCTGAAAGCAACTATATAACCTTTTTATTAAAACGTTCGTTCTACCACGTGCTCTCTGATGTGTTCTTCGAAGTTTGTTCTAATCCTGATCAGTTCTGAGTTTTGTTCTATAAGCGAGTGTGACTTCTACCCTCGCTCATCGTAACCTTTTGTGAAATATCTAAAATTTTTGTGTCATCCTGAGAATCTATTTTATTACTTCATTCTGTTCCGCGTGTTCTTTCATACATTTTTCTGGTCTTATCTGAGTTTGAGACGACTCACTGTTATTGTGCTGTGACCTCTGCGGTTTACAATGCTTTGTAGATCTATGTAAACATCTTTTGTATATTTGTGGTGTCACCTTGTAGTGTTGTGGTCTTCGACAGTTTAATATCTTAACTGTATACCCCTTGTTCAAGGTTTAAGTATATTTAAAGTGTTTGAAACCCGGTGTTGACATTTTCCCGCGCTACAAGTACAATTGATGTTTCTCTCTCAACTTGAGTTTGTCTCTCATTGCTTTGCCCAGAGGGAGCCTGACTGCGGTAGTCTTACTTTAAGCAACCATTGTGTTATTTTTTCCGATTGAAACTTAGAAATTGCTATTGAGATTAATTATATATATCAATGTATGGCCTATACGCTTTGAATTCAATTCTCACATGTATTCTTCTCATGGGAGTTTATTATGATTCATGAATAGATTCAACGTATGGCAAAGTCATTTTCCTTGTACTCGACTTGTCCGTTTCCAAGCGAACAATATATTTGATTCAATCTCAATTTCCAATAAGCTGGATTTACTTTGCTGTTGTCTAACCTGTATTACCAACAGTGTAGCATATAGTGTATTCTAGAACTTTTTCGTCTTCTAAGTTTATTGTTCTGACAGTTGGCTAAGCCTCAAGTCATTTAAGAAGAAGAAGAAGAAGTTTATGTTATGCCGGTTCTTTTTAACTTGTAATAAATAATGAGTACTGAAAATAAATCGGTAAGTTGAAATGTTTATTAAGTAATTTTAAATTCAACTACTTGATTCGAAAATTAATTATAATTACTTATGAAAATCATAAGTAATTATAAAACTTGATATTTAAAAACACAAAACGTATGTGTATGAATTTGAGGTTATAAATCAATTTTCCTCGCATCTCTCAAATACTTTCTGTATATTAAGTTTCTTTCAGTTATTCGAATCAAGTAGTTGAATTTAAAATTACTTAATAAACATTTCAAATTACCGATTTATTTTCAGTACTCATTATTTATTATTACAAGTTAAAAAGAACTATACAAACCGTTTTACAAACATCGTCATTTTACACTTTCTTGTGGCAGAAAACATTTTAAAGCAAAATTTGCTAAATTTTTCAATCAAATCATCTTTCTATCACTATTTTAAAGTGTTCTTAGATATTAAAACAATTATTTAATATTATATTTCTTAAAAAACATTTTTTGTTTAAAACAATTCAAAAATACCCGCCGTGAAAATGACTTTTCACGCATTTTCACGGTCCAGAAATAATGTTCATCTGATCGAAATTTGAGGTATAAAAGCACCTTTATGTATTAGATTTTTATAGGGTAAGTGCATCAATTACGACGCGTTCATAAAAAATAACTATTATTACTATTATATTTAATATAACTGTTGCAAAATAATTAAAAATAGTTATTTATGATACAAGTGCGTAAAGTTAGTGATTATACGAGTGTGACGTTTGCAGCACGAGGCGAAGCCGAGTGATGCAAATCACACGAGTATAACCTTATTCAAGTTGGGTGGGGGAAAGCCAAGCTGGTGCACAAACATCCGGTCTATCAGCACACATTTCCACGCATTTCTCGTGGGAATGAATGCTGATAGGCTGATAGGCCGGATGTTTGTGCACCAGCAATCATCCATCTTGGCTTTCCCACACCCAACTTGAATAACCTTATAATCAGATTTACGCACGTGTATCACACAACATTTTTTTCAACACCCACCTCTAAAGTTAAATACCTATTATGAAGAATACCAACTCTGTATTAGAATAATTTCGATTTCGTCTAAAACAATCCTTATATTATGTGAGAGAAATTTCGGTGCGTATAAAGTAAATTTCAGTGTGTAAAGTAATATTTCAGTGCGTAAAGTGAATCACTTTACACACCGTTTGAAAAAGAGCTTCTTTACACACAATTTTCGGTGTGTAAAATTTAACTTTAGAGGTTAGTGTTGCAAAAAAATTATTTTATAATCTTTTTTTGATACAATTACTAATGAAGATGCAAATTTAAACAATTATTAACTTAAGTATTTTAGATTAAATTTTTTCCCTTGCCGTAATTGAAACATTTTTAATATTTCCATTGGCTCCAATTTCGGCGGGCAAAGTATCTTCAAAATACACGTAATTTTGGTCACCGTAATTGATACACCGAAACTGATACAAACGCGCCGTAATAGAAAATGACGATATTAGTTTTAATTTCTTATATTTGTTTAAATACTTAATCGATTTTTATAAAGTTTAATTTTTTTAAATATCTAAATAACATAATCTTTTAGTTTAATAAGTATTTAATTGACATTGTACAATAAAAATGTGACAGTGAATCTCTGGAGGCGCCTCGAAAAATAGTTCTTTTGCGATGTACATTAACTCGCAATATAGAATCATCTGAAATAAAAAAATCAAAATACATTTGTTAAAAGGAGATGTTTCTCGAGGTAACCCTGGGGGAATTTATTTTTTTCGATTTTTTAATTTTTCGTATCACTTCACGGAGAGAAAAATCTGCCTTTTATAGTATAGAAAGGTTTACATTTAATGCACAGAAATTTTCTATGCTATATAGGCATGAAATTTGAGTAATTATAGTACAATCCACCCAAATGACTCTCTAATGGTTAGCACCAGGAAAAAGTGGGATGAATGTTGATCGCCGCCGCTTCGCGGCAATGGTGGCGCTGGATGTGCTTTCGGGCCGACTTTTAAATAAGCGAATGAAAATAACAATAATTTCATCTTTTCTTTTTTGTTAATCTATAATTGTGGTAGAATTTCTTTATGAATAAAAGGATAATTAAATATAAAATAATAAAAATAAACTATCTCGCATCAAGTACAAATTTATAAAGGAAGCAAATAATTTCACAAACTGGTATTAAAGTATATGTGCAAAAATTCAAAATAATAAATTATTTATTCAATATTTACTGTAGTTATAATTTATAATTATAATATTATATATTTTTATTATAAATAAATTAAAATTTTTATTTTTTTTATATATTAGATAAACATTGTCATAACAGATAATAAAATAATAATAAAATAATCCAAATAATAAAATACATCAGATACAATTTTTATACTTTTATGTTGAGTAAAACTTCGCTATTTTTCGAAAATCAGTGCTTTTTTTTTGTGATCTGCCACCTGAATTTTAGCATATTGCCGCATGCGATTTTGCAAGTAGTAATGAATTATGTATGCTAAGACTTCTTGAGCGTGATCAGCGCATGGAAAACTAAAAGTTTGTTGAAGAATTTCATCAACTACAACGTCATAAACATTACTTTTGTTACAATTTTGAACAAAACTAAACTCAATCACTTGCAGGAATTTATAAAGCCTGATATTAGGATGTTCGATTCTAATGCTATTTTCGTCTTCTTTTTCTCTTGTTACGAGTTGAGCAATGGGATGATTTGACATAAATGTTTTTTCTGACGATTCTAAAAATCCAGTTCGGCAGGTTTCACATTTCACAAATTTTATGAAATTTTTACAAATGCTTCCTGTAACAAAGTAAATAAGGCACTCTGTTACATAGGGAAGGTCATAATCGTGATCCAAAGCGTTCGTAAAATCAGTAAAATCGTTATCGTTTTGCTCAATGACAATATTTAATTTTGTTTTAATATTTTCGATAAAAGATGGTTTTTTCTCCGATTTGTAAATTTCCTTCAATTTTGACATTGAAATTAAAGGTTGACCAACATTTTCTGGCAAGGAACAATTTCCGGTTTTAGGTGGTTTTAAAATACTATAAAATGATAATATTTTATAAATTT